ACAATCTTGGCTTGGTGGTCTTGTTCTGTCTTGTGGTACACATAATTCTCAATAATTTCAGCTGACAATGTTCAAATGGCTAATACACTGTGATAAGAAAATATTATAGTTTGAGTATTCATAAAGTAAATAAACTCATCCGCCTCTAAATTAAACCTCCATTTCAGCCTAGCAAACGTTTCATCTTCAAGTGTTTAAGAATAGGTGTAGTAAAATAGTAAATAGTAAAATTAAAATAAATGACTGTCAAACATCTGCTTTTAGAAGAAAGCTAACATTGTGAATCACTCCTGACTTACGAGAAGGACAGAACTTAACTGATCGTATTTTGGCGGTTTCCTATTTCTATGCCATAATTATCAGGTCACTTTTATGGATCGGGTAATGTTTTCCTATGCCGTTCATAAGCGCAGTGGAGAGTATGGCTCTGCCTCTGACCTCAAAGGTTGGTGAAGGAGACAAAGGAAACAAACTATAACCCTTCTGATACAGAATTTTGTGTATGACCATGGAAATGAACGAAGTTGAGAGGCCAAGAAAAGGAACTAACCGTAAAGAAATGTGTGTCTCTTTTGATCGTGTGTGGCTGTGAACCCTAACCTCCCCGAAGGCAGGGGCCATCTTATATATGGCTGCATACCTTGTTTGGGTACCCAGCTCAGAAGACGACAGCCTGTCACAACAGATGAGCTAATGTGCGAAAGTGAATACTGCAATGAGATGGGCCTGTGGGGCATACAGTACATCTGCATTAATTTCACCTCCCACAGACGGTATTGGCTGCCATATATATATATATATATATATATATATAAAATATCACATATTATATAATTATATAATATATTATATCATCACCCCTACTAAGTAAGAATTTCCAATGTTTCATCTCACGCTTGCTAAAACTATAGCAGATTGAACAGGACTTGATTCTTTGACATCAAGAGCTCTGTGGTGACAATTCTTTGCAGGGGAGTCGTACAATGGACTAAGAAGGGACTTTGATTTTGCCATTTTATAGCAGTTATTTAGTCTCTTAGGACTTCCCATTGCTCAGCTTGGAGCGAGATTAATGTTCTCTTCCACCTGACCCGGCAGACACGTTTTTGTGTCATAACTAGTTTGAGTGTAGGTAGAGTGCCCAAACTACTTGTCAGTTGATGGGATGTGGCTTGGCGTTTCCCGGTGGCGTTGAAGTTCCATAGTCAATTCCCAATAGGTACGGGTATTCATCCCAGTGAATTTCCCCTCCCAAACCAACCAGGGTAATAATGAACCACTCTCTTGCATTTTCTATCAAGACAGCTCTTTGTGATTTCTAAATGTTCTGTCTAGATTCAAAGAAGCTGATTTCTTCATGAGTGGTTGGAATAAGACTTTTCTTAGAAGCTACTGAATATGGATTAGTTGGATTGTTTCTCGGGAAATAAAAAGCAGGCTCTGGGGTGACCACTTCAACATTTAATTGGGTTAGCAAAGAACTACAAATAAGAGGTTTTCCTCAGGAGAGGAAGCATGTTTACTGCACCCGGCCCCTTAGGTGGTAGATTTTAACCTCACTGCTGGCCTTCAAATGCCCTCCTTGACTCAGGCACCACTGCATGAATATATCAGTGCGGAAATGTCAGGTTGAAAACTTAACCTATCACAGGAGCTCACTGGATCCAAGCCTCTCATTTGATTACAAAATACTGAGCCCTCCAACTCTCCAGCCACCCACGGAAGTCATGTTTGTTGCAGCTCCAAAGGCTTTGTATCCCAAAGAGAAGGCTAGACCGGCACTTGGGACAAAGCCACTAGGGGCCGGCGACCTGTACTTTAGGGTAACTGAAGGTTCTTTTCTTGTGGCTCCATCAGACTCGCCGTGCCTGTCACCAGGTGATAGCCCACTGCCTGGATTCCTCAGAGAAGTCTTTTCTGTATCAAAGACAAGCACACTATATCTGATAGCAGGGGCAGCTATGGACCGTCCGTGTGAACAGCTCCAGGACAGCGAGGCCAAGGGGCCATTCAGACTTAGCTTCAAGTCCTGCTCTTTGTTTTCCCTCCACATTCAGGCTGAAATGTGATTCCCTGGCTTTCTTTTCTTTTCTTTCTTTCTTTTTTTTTTTTTTTTTTGAAAATACCTGTGATGAGTTCCCTGGCTAGAAAGAAAAGCTGTTGACAGGAAAAGCTTCTGATGGGGAAGAGGCTTCTTCACGTGTTCTCAAAGGAGACAAGCTGCTCCAAACATGCTTAAGTAGAGATTCCGGGCCTAGAGAAGAGGTCAGTATTTCCCCATCTTCCACCCCTCCCCCCAGGAAAGGCCATCCTTAATGGTAGAATAGGCTGAGAATTAAGCAGTGTCCTCTTTGAGAGCAGGAACATAGATCTATTAGACGCTAGAATACAGGGAATGGGGAAGTGAGTTCTTCTCTCCTTGTACTTGGGCATATTATTTGACCTCTCTAAACATGCTTTCTCACACGGCTGTGAGCATTAAATACAAGCTTGAGTATAAGTCATGGAACACTGGTACAGAATAAGGTTTCTTGTGAAATCTCTGTTACTGATTTGATAATAGTAACCCCTCAGCCAGCACTAACGATGGCCCGTCTATGTGCCAGGCACGTTGTGAGCAACAGATTCAACACCCTCCTTGACTTCAGGAAGTTCACTGCTTCACAAACCACGCACACACCCTGCTCTAGGCGCAGCGCCAGCTGTACACCAAGCCCACTTTGTTAAGTAGCTCATAGTCTTCTTTTAGGCCGTCTCTTCAAATGGCTCTCCAAACCCAGCTACCTCTGCCTCCAATTTGCTCACAATTCTCTCTGTGGTTACCACGCCAAGCGTGGTTTGTTTTGCTTGTCTCCTACGTGATCCTAGAGAATGGGCATCATGTATTCATTTAGTCTATTCATCCGATTTGTTCCTCTCAGACAGTGAATAGGTCACTGAACTCTTCATCCAATCATTTATTCATCCTTGAAAGCCAGTGGTCTTTGGCGCAAGTATACAGAGAACTCAACCCTGTTCTGAATTCCTGGAGAGTAATCTTGCCTTCCATCTTTAAAAAGTTGGTCCTATCATTCCTAAATACTACTCTGGCTCCAGCCTCAGTTTCCCAGTCTACTTAAGGGGCCAATGCATCTCCATTACCAGGACATTAGGACAATGACTAGAGACAATGCAGCTTTTACATGCCCAACAGTTCCAGGCAAAGAGGCAAATGCCTCAAACAGTTGATTCCATTCTTACCCTCAACCAGGCTCAGCCAACATAAGAAAACCAAAACCACGAAACATGAGTGCATATATCCTTCCAGTGCCTACCTGACCTCTACTGTGTGCCAGAGGATCAACCGAAATGGGAAGACACAAAGCATCAGGGAAAACATGGCCAAGTGCTTAGGCAAACGGTCCGAAGGAGAGGGTAGGAATCCATATACTGATTTCTCTTATCCTCAAACCTGGGCTGCCCGAGGTGTGTTCAGGCCAGCAGGAGACTGGCTGCATTTCACCATCTGTCTCAGATATAAAAAAAAAAAAAAAAAAAGGTGATGACCGAGTTATTCAGCATCGGGCACTGTGCCCGTTGATCTACATGCAGGCATTACCTCGCGTACTGAGGATCACTATGTGACAGGAGAACATGGACTCCACTCAGAAAGTTGCCCCGCTGCACGGCTCGCCTGGGGCTCTTATTGGTTTGACCAATCAAGTAACAAGTAAATAGTTTAGGAAATCACCTGCTGAGAGTTCCACTAGCCGAAAAGAAAGCTGAGAAATCCCTTTCTTTGTAGGTGAAAAGGAAAGAAGCTGGATTCGAACCCCGGAGGGGGGAAAAGACCTTCGGATCCCCAGAGCAAAAAATGGGCACGAAAGGGAGTGGAGGATGCAGGGTAAGGGTGTCCCACGGTCTGGAAAGGAGAGTCTCTGCGGCTTGTGCGCCCTCCTCGCCTCGGGTGCACAGGTCAAGCCTCTTCCCTCCCGCGCTCTCACCCTCCCAACCTTATTTAGAAACCGTGTCCCCGAGACAGGAAGGGCGGCGGGCCGAGAAGCACGGAGCGTCCCGGCCTCATTTCCTTTCGAATCCCCCTGTGGAATTTCATTTCGTACGGCGAGGAAATCGGAGCGCGAGCCCGTCCGCCGCTCGGCGGCTCCGGGGCGCCTCCCCCACCGGAGCTGCATGCAGAAGGGCTGCTCCCGCGCGCAGGTCGCGCCGAGCACGGGGCGGGGCTGGGGGCCGGGCGCCAGCCCCACGGGCTCGGGTAAAATTTTCTGCAAACTCCGCGCGGTACCAGGCACCAGCTCTAAGCCTTTCGGGCTTTATCGCTAATCCTCCCAAGTCACTTTACGGATGAGGAACCTGACGCCGAGAGGCTGGCCGAGAGGCTCAAGGTCACACAGCCAGGATTTAAAGCCACGACCTGTGTAAACCCCAAATACCGTGTTCTTTGTGTTCACTGTTTTCGCTGGGTACGGAGGTGGCCACGGAGCGGGGGGTGGGGGAGGTGGGGTGGGGTGACAGCTCGAAGCACTTCTCACCTGGGAGAAGCGGTCAGGTCGGCTGGGCAGGAGTCACGGGGCTCCCCCGACTCCCGGCCACGGCGTGCGCTGGATCCGGGTGGGAGGACGCCGAGCGCCGGGAAGCCGAGTGGGGCGGGGCGGCTCCGGAGCGAGCTGGGCAGGGAGGAACCGGCCGCCGGCGGGGGCCTGACCCTTACAGCAGGAGAGAGGCCCCGCCCCTTCCCGCCTCCTCGGCCCAAGCCTGCCTCCCATTGGACGGTCGCGTTGTCCGTCCCGCCCCGCCCCCGCCCTGCGAACCTCCAGCGCCGCGGAGCGCCGGGGCGGCGAGAAGAGCGCGGAGTGGACCGCGGGCGGGCGGGCTCCGCCAGACTCGGCCGGCGCTGGGTCCTGGGACCGCCGCTTGCAGCCATGACCCAAGCAGCGCGTCCCTCGGCCCCGGCTCCGGACGTCTGATATTTCGCACAGTCTCGGACAGCTGCTAGGGAGGCGGCCGCTGCCCCTGCGTCGCCCTTGGCGCCTTACCGCACTCCCTATCCGGAGCTGGGACCAGCGCGGCCACCGGCGCCCCCCGTGCAAACTGGGGGTGTCTGCTGGAGCAGCCCCCGCCGCTGCTGCCCGCGGCTCTGGCCATGGCCTGGCGGGGCACAGGGCCGAGCGTCCCGGGGGCGCCCGGAGGCGTCAGGCTCAGGCTGGGGCTTATGCTGCAGTTGCTCCTGTTCCTGCGGCCGGCGCTGGGCTTTGGGGACGACGAGGAGCGGCGCTGCGACCCCATCCGCATCGCCATGTGCCAGAACCTCGGCTACAACGTGACCAAGATGCCCAACCTGGTGGGACACGAACTGCAGACGGACGCCGAGCTGCAGCTGACAACTTTCACGCCGCTCATCCAGTACGGCTGCTCCAGCCAGCTGCAGGTGGGCGCTCCTACCCCCGTCCCTGGAGGGACCGGCTAGGCAGGGACTCCCAAACTCCTTTCTTGGAATCCCTGACAGATCGAACCCCCTGCCCCCTTCCCAAGTTGAGGGTACAACTCCTGGAAAAGTGATTCCCACCCCGCACCCCCCCCACCTCACCCCCCGCTTTAATGTCCCTCTTGGAGACTGGAAGCCAAAACGTTGTGTAAGTCATCTGGCCCGCGAAAGAACCCATTCTTACACCCCGCCCTTCCGTTTTTCTCCCCTGCCCATGTCTGGCCAAGCCCCTAACAGCAGTGTAGCTGAGGGTTATCTTTGCCAAGGATTTCGGCAGCCCCTGCTTGGTGGGCGAGTCCTGGCAGGGCAGCCAGTTGCACCTAAAACTTGGAAGGAGTGATAAGGACACAGAACTTCGCCCTTCCAGATCGCTCATCGACCTCCTTTCTCCCTTTGGTGTAGGTTACCAAATAAAACATTGCTGCCTGTTTTCTGCAGAATGCCCCGGCCATTCGTCCTGCACTTTTTAGAGGTCATACAGGAAAGAGTGGTTGTGTTGGCTTGAGTTCTTTCTTGTCCTTAGGGTTGGAAGCAGGTTTAGAGTTTGGAGGGACTGAAAAAGCTCCAGGAAGGTAGTTTGCATATTTGAAGAACTTTTCTTTCCTCCTCCTTCTCCTCTTCTTTTTCTTGGCAGTCAAAATGTTAAAACTTACATAATGTGTAATGATATAGAAATTCTCCCTACAATAATAAGTGAAAAATAATTTGCATATACAGCATAATTTATAATACAGTTATACTTTCTCATATACAGCTCAATGGGGAAGTGGATTGGGATGAAATTTTTAAAAGTTCACACTGGTAATGTTTTGGTTGGTGAATGGCTTTGATAAAGTTAGAAAAGAGAGCAGTTGGTTAAAAAAAAATGAAGAAGAAAAATAGAGGTTAGAGTTGTGTAGGCTGAAACCTCAAGAAATCTATAGTTGTGGCTGTAGAAAGATAAGAAACAGACGTACAGTTTACTTACCAGCTCTCACTTTTTACATAGGTTGTTGTAAAAGCTGGATTGTGGTTTTGGGAAGATGGTTGGGATGAAACCTGTTGCTGGTGAAATGTCCCTGTGGAAGTTTCAGGTCTTCAAAAACTAGATTATAAAAGCTTAAGAAATGAGCCTCTCAACTCTCAGTTTGGAAACAGCACATAGCTGACATCAGTGGCAAATTTGCTGGAGAAACAGCTTTTGCAGGGATATATATTTTTAATTACATGTATCCTGGGGAGGCAGCCAAGCTGTTTTGAAAGACAAGACTGGATCCCTTTACATGCTGGAAAATAGTTACTTGTAACCCTAGACTTCATAGACAACATCTGTAAGGAGCCAAGGAGACTGTTTATCAATGCTGGAGGAATTGAGGACAGCAACTGGACTCTCCCCTGCTGGTATTGCAATCTCAGGGACTTAACATTTCCATCTTCCTATTGTGCTTCATTAGTATTCATTGAGGAAATGCTAGCCAAACAAATCCCTGGGGACCAAAGACCCCCAACCTCCTCCTTAAGTCTAACAGCCTCAACTTAGTACATATTCTGTTTAAATATGGGCTTGACTTTTTAAAATTAAAATGTAAATTAGGAAAAAAAATAGAATGGTAACAGGATCTATATTTGCTTACATTTATTTTTAAGGTGACAGAGAAGTGATAAAAGTCAAGCACTGACTAAGTCATTCCAGACAAGTCACTTGATTAGACTCTTTAGATCTTTCAGATGGTAGCTAGAAGGAGAAGGATATTGGAAGTCACTTTTTAAAAGTTTATTTTCATGAGAGTTATGTGAAAAAGATTATGTAATTCTTCAGACACTTCTTAGTTATTTGCCCACTTATGATCCTTTGAAAAGGATTACTAGAGCCCAACTAAGGAAACTGTATAAAAAGTGATGGATTATTAGGCGCCACTGTTTGAGATCAGTGTAAACAGACATTCCCAGTAGGCTGTCTTAAAAGAAGATACGTACATTGCCTGGAAGCATTCACTCAGCTTTGTGTATTTGGTCAAACCCCCACTCATTGTTTTCATGTTCATGTCATTACTTTTCCAGTTCTTCCTTTGTTCGGTTTACGTGCCAATGTGCACAGAGAAGATCAATATCCCCATTGGCCCGTGCGGTGGCATGTGTCTTTCAGTCAAGAGGCGATGTGAACCAGTCCTGAAAGAATTTGGGTTTGCCTGGCCAGACAGCCTGAACTGCAGCAAGTTCCCACCCCAGAATGACCACAACCACATGTGCATGGAAGGACCAGGTGATGAAGAGGTACCATTGCCTCACAAGACCCCCGTCCAGCCTGGGGAAGAGTGCCACTCAGTTGGAACCAATTCTGAGCAGTACATTTGGGTGAAGAGGAGCCTGAACTGTGTTCTGAAGTGTGGCTATGATGCTGGCCTGTATAGCCGCTCAGCTAAGGAGTTCACGGATATTTGGATGACAGTGTGGGCCAGCCTTTGTTTCATCTCCACCACCTTCACTGTGCTTACCTTCCTCATCGATTCATCCAGGTTTTCTTACCCTGAGCGCCCCATCATATTTCTCAGCATGTGCTATAATATTTATAGCATTGCTTATATTGTTCGGCTGACTGTAGGCCGGGAGAGGATATCCTGTGATTTTGAAGAGGCGGCAGAACCCGTTCTCATCCAAGAAGGACTTAAGAACACAGGATGTGCAATAATTTTCTTGCTGATGTACTTTTTTGGAATGGCCAGCTCCATTTGGTGGGTTATTCTAACACTCACTTGGTTTTTGGCAGCAGGACTCAAGTGGGGTCATGAAGCCATTGAAATGCACAGTTCTTATTTCCACATTGCAGCCTGGGCTATTCCTGCAGTGAAAACCATTGTCATCTTGATTATGAGACTAGTGGATGCCGACGAACTGACTGGCCTGTGCTATGTTGGGAACCAAAACCTCGATGCCCTCACTGGCTTTGTGGTGGCCCCTCTCTTCACGTACTTGGTGATTGGAACTCTCTTCATTGCAGCAGGTTTGGTGGCCTTATTCAAAATTCGGTCGAATCTTCAAAAAGATGGGACGAAGACAGACAAGTTAGAAAGGCTCATGGTCAAGATCGGTGTCTTCTCAGTCCTGTACACAGTTCCAGCAACCTGTGTGATTGCCTGCTACTTCTATGAGATCTCAAACTGGGCACTTTTTCGGTATTCGGCAGATGACTCTAATATGGCAGTTGAAATGTTGAAAATTTTTATGTCTTTGCTCGTGGGCATCACTTCAGGCATGTGGATTTGGTCTGCCAAGACTCTTCACACATGGCAAAAATGTTCTAACCGATTGGTGAATTCTGGGAAGGTAAAGCGAGAGAAGAGGGGGAATGGTTGGGTGAAGCCAGGGAAAGGCAATGAAACTGTGGTATGAGACAGCTTTTACACTTTCCTTGTTTTGAAGGAAATGATGAGTGAATCTCCGTTTGAGCAGACTAGAAAACGCTTCAGCACCCCCCCACCGTCAGCCCACTACCGCTCACACCACTCAGCATCGTCAAAACCAATGATTTTGCTGCAGACTTTGGAACGATCCAAAATTGAAAAGCCAGTCAGAGGCTTTCAAAGCTGTGAGAAATCAAAAGGTTGATCACTTTAGCAGGTCACAGCTTGGAGTGTGGAGGTCCTGCTTAGATTCCCAACGTCCAGGGTGATGCTGTTTGTCCCCCCTACTGGGTGGGATTTCAGCTGTGAGTTGATAACTTGCAGGGGAAAAGATTAATTTTTAAAACTCTTTTAAATTTTAAATAGTAACTAGGTCTTTCAGATAGCAAAGTGATCTATAAACACTGGAAATGCTGGGTTGGGAGACGTGTTGCAGAGTTTTATAGTTTGGCTGGTCTAACATAAACATCTTCTGGCCTGCACTGTCTGCTGTTTAGAACTCTGGAGCACACTCCCAAGAGGTGGTGTCAAAATCCTTCAGTGCCTTTGTTGTAAAACAGAATTGTTTGAACAAACAAAAGTACTGTACTAACACACATAAGGTATCTAAATAGATTTCTCTTTCTCCTTAAATTTCAGCATCCTTGTTCTAGGTGCCCCTGTTTTCTTCACTTTATACTAATGACTCAAAAAAAAGAATTATTTTTATAGGTTTTTTTTTCTTTTTTCTTTTTTCTTTTTTTTTTTTTTTTTTTTTTTTTTTTTTTTTTTTTTTTTTTTTTTTGCACTGCAGCATGCCTAATGAGGGGAAAGGGAAAGGTAATTCACTTTCTGACAATCACTTAATTCAGAAGAAAATGAGATTTACTAAGTTGACTTACCTTACCGACCCCAGAGACCTGTTGCATTAAGCAATGTTAAGCAATTGGGACTTAAAATATTTTAGTTTGTGTGATTGCATCTAGGCAGACGCCAGTCTGGACGAACTGAAATGTTAAATTTCTTGGCAACTTTGCATTCACACAGATTAGCTGTGTAATTTGTGTGTGTCAATTACAATTAAAAGCACATTCTTGGACCATGACATAGTATACTCAATTGACTTTAAAACTGTGGTCAACTTGCATTCTTAGTGTGATAGTGCCTTTCCCCCCTGTAGCATAAGAATGTTATCGGAGTTTGGTCTACTTACCACAATGGGGACTTATTCAACTTTGCAAAGGCAACTAAGGACAGCAGATCCAAATACTTGGTACATAATTGTTCCTTAGTAATTGGCAAAGGCTCCTTATAAGATTTCATTGGAGGCAGTGTGGCCTGGAGTATTTATGTGGTGACTAATGAATCTCCAGAATCCCAGCCAGAAGCTAGGTTGGTTAGCAGGGGCTACGGTGTAGACTGAATGAAATGAGCTGCAAAGTCTAACAGCGCAAAGTCTTAATTGCCTTTGCCGGGGTATCCAAGGCCTTTAAAATTTATGCTTTAAGTCCCTCACAAGGGGGTACCCGCTAGCAACCTATCAAAAACCTGAAGTTCCTTTAAAACTGTGACCGGCCTTCTCTGTAACCTGCCTTAGGCCTCTTAATCGCCAGATCTCGGGACAAACTGTTGTACACGTCACCGGTTGGTCTCCTCGTGTTTCATACCTGTCTGCTTCAGCAGCTGCGGTTATTTGTTGATTCATGCTTTGTCCCTTTAGTGGGAAAAAAAAAGCAAAAACGCTCTTCATGTTTTGCCCAATCATACTTTGTGGAGAAACATTTCATGGACTCCAAAGGTGATCAAATTCTGGAAATACAAATTTTTAATTTTTTTTTTTTTTTTTTTTGGTTTTGAGGTTGTTTTTTTGTATATTTGGTTGGTTGGTTGTTTTGATTTTGGTTTGAGCTTTATGTCTCTCACTTTACATTTTCTCTCTGTGCCCTTTGTTTTCTCAAGTTCTGTAGCTGTCTGAGATCAAGATACAAGATGTATATAAGGCCCAATGTATGCTTAGAAAGGAGAATCTTTGGGCTTATGAGATAGAGACCTCTGTGAACTTGCCTGGCCCCTGGTGATTTACACAACCTGAGTACCTAGATTGGACTAGGGCATAAGGCTCCAGGAGCATGAGAACTGATCCCTGGAAGGGCCAGATTAACTCCTGAATGAGCTGCCTATGAAATGTGAAAAGGACACGCCCCGTGCTGCTTGCAGACAGTTCCCATAGCTGTCCAGGGCCCTGGAGTGTGCACCCAAGGGCAGATTCTGCCCTTACTCACGCTCTGCTCTGGTGTCTTGGGAGTTGTGCACTGACTCTGGCCCAGGAAAGGGATGAAGGACCAGGCAGTAGCTGACTGGCTTTGCTGTACTGGCTTTGTAATGAAAGCAATTCTCTTTGCAATGCTTCAGTGATTATAGGACCAAGATAGCACCCTCCAAAAGGCTAGGCAAGAAGTAGGTGCTGGGCATGTGTCAACGATAACCATAGCAACAGGAAGTCCTTGGGTGAATCTGGTCACCTGCCTTCTGAATTCTAGAGCTAGCAGACTGACAATTTCTCTGTCCCATCTTTCAGGAGAAGTTTTGTTTGAGCAAAGGGGGCTGGCAGCTCAGACCGGTTTAATAATCTTAGCAACACTGTGAGGTTGTAAGGCCTTCCCTTTCAAATTCCAGGTGATGGAGAATGATCCCAGTCTCCAGGAAGATAATTCAGTAGCTCAGAAGTCCTTTACCAATGCCCTTCAAGTGACTGCATCATTTTTTCACACCGTTCCCACAAGTTTCTTTCTAGGTCTCTCTACCTTTCCCAGAATTTCTTCTAATGACAAAATGATCAGCTTTGCTTCATGACCATATCTTCATTAAAACTCCCTAGGAAAACAGAGTAGGACCCAAGGACTAGGCTCCAGCATCTACTGTGGCTTTGGACACAAGAGGGTCAAGGCTTGGAGTGTACCATGGGACTTATGCAGGCATATTTGAAGACAGCTGCACACTGAGGAGAAAGTCAGACTTATTTTCTTTTCTCTGAGATCCGAAATAAGTACATGAGGTTGTGATTTTTTTTAAGAAAAGTCCTCAAGCTTCCAGATGTTCCATTAAGCACGATGAAGGGCACCTCTGTCCAGCCTCTTCTTTGATAAACTCCTCTGTCCTGCCTCATAAAAGCCAAAACATGGAGTAGAAGAACACTGTGTAGGGTAGACGTAGCCAGAACCACCCAGCTGAGCTACTCGGCTGATTATATCTTTCTTCCTTTATGGTGACCCATTTCCTGGTTGCTGAGATGGCTTCTGAGCTGGCGCAGTGCCCAGAGGCCTGAAACAAGGGAAAGGTGACATGATTTCCTGAGATGTTCCCTTTCTTCTTTCAGTCATGCCCTCACCAGTATTCCCTAAACCCAGAACCAGAGCTATCTCCTTATCAGGTTCTGAGCTGTAGTTCTGTCTAACACTTCCAGCTGTAACACTCAGGCCTTTGCTCACACAATTCAGTGTCTTTGGTATTATGAGTGCAAAGTTGGATCATGGGACACCAAGATGAAGCTGACATCCTCAGTCCTCAAAGAGCAGACACAATTGAAAGAGGTTTCACCAGTGTGACATGTCTGCTAAGGAGCTCATAGTGGCAGTCAGGAAAGGAAACCATGAGAACACAGACTTTGGCAGGAACTACTTAATGTGTAAATTCCATCCTGTGACAGAGGGCATTGGAGAGAGTTGCTATTCCTGTCAGTCATGATGAACCCCGGACTTGGACAGTGCTCTTTGTTCTTTTATTGTATTTGACTTCAGAGTCCCTGTCTGAGTTTGCAGTATGCCTGGCAAAGGACCCAGGTTATCATTTTCCCTTCATGCCTAGCTCAAAGGTCTTGGAACTCCTGAGAGAGCACTTTGCTCCCACAGAGGATCAGATACTGAAGCCTAAGTAATAGGTTTTGTCCCGCTGGCGCCCAGATGGAGCTCTCTGCTACTGCCTTTTGCCATGCAGTACATGCAGCAATGGCACACTTGCATACCCAGCATGCGTCTTCCTCTAGCAAGCACATTTGCCCTGGCCGTGACTTGTTCTTGCTCCTCATTTGTCTGATTTTCTCTTTGTAGCAGTCACTTCCTAGTATTCACCCATGTCGTTGGTAGAGAGTCTGTTTGGGATCTAATATGAGCTACATCTTCAGAGCATTTCATTTGTGCCTTCCTGATCTCCCAGAATGTTCAGCTAATGACCGGTATCATCCCAGAAAGCTTCCGAAAGGGGGTGAAGGCAGCTCTGTCCTACAAGGGCTGGTTCTGTCTTCCCTCCCAGGTTATGCACATTTCAAAATCCTGGAAGTTTAACAGGCTGAGGCCTTAACTTGACGGTGGCCATGGGAAGGGATTAAGTTGCTTTCTAGAGCTTTCATGGTGGACATCCAGGTGGTTCTGAGTTTCTTCTGCCTCACAGAGATGATGTAAGGCTTTAGAAGGCCTAAGGATGAAGGCCCCTTGAGCTTGTCGTGTGAAAGATGAACTAAGTCACAATCCCAGTCTGCAGAAAGATAAAATACAGTTAGGGTTATTCTGTACAACAGTTCAGATAATTGTTTTCTACCTTTTTCTTGGATCCTCATGCCTCTTCACAGCTCTAGGAACCTGGAGCAACTGGGGCCCATTCAGATGCTTGATATAGAGGTACCAGGCAAACTCTTGCTATACAAGCCCTGAATAAATTACTGAATTTCAAAGGAAATAGACCCCCTTTTTAAGGATGTACAAAAGTGTGTCTGCATTGATGTCTGTACTGTAAATTTCTAATTTATCACTGTATTAAAAAAAACTTGCTATTTAATTTTTGTATTAAAGGAAAATAAAGTTTTGTTTATTAACTGGTGTGTGATTTGGTGTTTTTCTGAAGGTATATATATGATAGTCCCTGGGAAGCTTACGTTCCCATCACTGAGAAAGGGAGGGATCTGTTTGTTTGGCAGATTGAGAAATTCTCTTGACTTATGCTATTTTTTCCCTGAGGGATTTCTCCTGGGTCATCAGCCCCCCTCCCCCAATCTAATGTCAATGTAAGCAAGTGGATCACATGATGCTTTGGACATAGCTATAGTTCTCAAGCTGTTACCCCAATCTTTCCATTTGAAGTTTAAAAACAGATTCCTCATTGCTACTGGAGCTCTAAACCTTTTATACAATGGTTCTGTTCTGCCTTCTGGGGAAAAAAAATAATAATTTGGGGCTAATTTTCTAAGTTGGGTGCTCTCTGTCCCTACATCCAGAAAAGTCATTGGAATAAGCAGCTGTGTGAGCATGGGAGGTGAGATGGAATGCTTGCCCAGCACGTGTGAGGCTATGGGCTTGATATCCAGCACTGCAAAACCAAACCAAACCATCAGGGCATTGTCCTCATATCCAGGAACGTGGACCACACAGAAACCAGGAGAGCCAATTCCAATGTAGATAGCTGCTGATGTCACCCTCTTTATTTCACCGGAAGTGCTCGCCACCTTTTAACTGCATTTGAATACCACCCTGCTTGGGGGTGAATGAGAAGCTCTGTTTGCAATATTGCCCTCCTTATCTGCACATGTCTGTTATAACTTTATCTCAAACCCCAGTGAAGAGAGGCATGCAATTTAAATTCTCTTCCCTGTAAGTCAGGCTGTGTTTCTCATTCCATTACCCACTCATTAAGTAGTTACGAAGGTAAGGGAAAGTCAACACAATATGGAATGAGTTCATAACCATCCCTTGCACTTGTAGAAACACTTTCCAATAGAAAAACACTGTGAGTGGTTTTGTTTTATTTGTGGGGTGTTTCTGTAGTAAGCGGGGCAAGCATTACTTGCAGAGAGAGGAAACCAAGACTTTTGGGGTGATGTTAACTGGCGGGAGGTGGGGGCAGATGGATAGCCAGATAGTCTCATGTCTACCTTGGGATTTTGTTTCCCTTCTACATGAGATTTTACTCTCTTTTTGCATTCCTGGGGGTTGCATTTTGTCCCCTCAAAAGATGTGTTGGAGTCCTGGATATTTGTATCACCTTATTTGGAAAGGGGTTCTTAGTAGACAATATTAAATTAAAATGAGCTCATATTACATTAGGCTGCTCTTTAGC